TTTCACATTATTCCTGATCGTGCAATTTCCATTGTCATCATATTGTATTCTTCGTCTATCGAAATCGTTTTTCACGATGGTAGTGATTCTCGTGATCTGAATACAAGCCGAGCCATCTACTCGCAGCTGAAATGTCTTCTTGAAGACATTCGCAAGGAATCATTCTGGTTAAAAGACATGAAGTAGGAAATGTGCATCTGCTGCCCTGTGTGTTCTCAAAAAGATAGCAGATGTTGTGCTCATGATGTGCGTGGTTGCGAGTGCTTGCACTTGTTGTCAGAGTTAAAGTTACGTGATCGTCCGTATTGCAACAAGCCTGGCATTCGTGGAGATCCAACAATTAATATTAACACATTTGAACACTGGTTTACATTGTCAGAAGCTCAAGGAAGCAGTACTCCACTCAGTCAGGTTGGTTCCTGAAAAATTAGTTTCGTGATACACGCTTAGGTTATTTCACTTGCATAAAATTACCATATGATTACTTTTTTTTTCGGACTAACCTAAGAGTATAATTGCGGCAAAGAATGTGCATTGTAGCTTACTTACTTTGTCAAAACAAAATACTGACTTGGTGCACATAAGATCTTAGACGTAGGTGATGGTGATTATTATCATTATTATTATTATTGATTATGGCGATAACAATAGTAATGTAAAAATGGTGAGGATAGAAAATTTGCAGTGCGCAGTTTGCGTAGATCGATTTATTGCACTGGTAGGAATAATCATGATTTTTTTTTATACATTACCTAGCTGCTTGAAATATTGTCTGTAGCAGATTGCGTAGCCTGTGAGAGCAGACACCTTTTTTGGCTCTAATAAATGTATTTTATGTGTTGGTTAATTATTAACAAACTCCATTCAGATTACACCTGATAGAGGTTCCACTGTATCTGAAAACGATTGACACAATTAAGGAGAAACATCGAAGATCACTGTTTGGAATTTGATACAGGACGGCTTGGCTGGAGGTGCATTACCGAAGCCATAATTTAGAGTGCTTATGATTTAAAGTAATTTCCTGTATCTGTATCTTTACAGCAGCAAGATGTGACTCAACGTGACAACAACGGAGAACACCACATAACTCCAAAGGAAGGTAAGCCCATTTATTGTTGTTGCTTCTGTTGTTGTTGCGATCATAATACACAGTGTACATGTGTCGACGAAAACAAGCCGATGTAGTGTTGAAGGAAAAATGCGGATAGTTCGAAATTAATTAACTTGAAGAAAAACCGCATACTAGTATTCGAGTAGTTTTTTCCCGCGGGATTTACAGTGTAGCTCTGATGCCAAATGATTTTAAGGTTTGGAGCCATCTTGGACTGGCTGGCTGGCACATTTAGCCTCGATCTCATTTTTTACTTTTTCTCGACCGGGAACTGATGTCTACTTTGTGCCTCGCTCTTTGACTACAGGTGAAATATTGGCGAGTTTTTGTTCACTAAGGGTTGGTTTATTATTTTTTACTCTCAGTTATTGATGTTCCATTTATTTCAGTTCCCTTCATAGAAAATGCTCTTCTAAGATAATCAGATATCCTGGTATTATGTCAACAACGTGTTCGGCACGCTGTATTTTAGATAAGCCACATCAGCGTTAAGGCTGAGGGTTAATATTAACCTCTGCAATCTGTTTTGTATTATTTTGTTTTTAATTTATGTTGCAAGCAGATCACAGGTTTCTCGTCATTCATTTTCTGTATGGCGTTTTGATTGTAGTTTGTGAATCAAAAATCAGAAGAATGTGGAAACGTTACTTCCCCTCCTCCTTTGCCTTATCACCCCTCCCTGTCGAACGCACTCCCCTAATTTGCAATTATTTATTTATTTATTTATTTGCTTGTTTATTTACGTACAAGACTTTTACAAAGCAAAAACAAAAACAATGGCGAGAGTTTAAGTGTGCCTTGACTAAATCTTACGACGTTAACTCTTTCAATCTGCCCCAAGTGCTGCGCTGCACGTAATGTTGTGACAATGATCTTAGCGAAAGTTGCGACTGTTTAACGCCCCTTTCGACATTGTTGCAAGATCTTGGGAAGAGTTTAAACCTGTTTGAATTTCGTCATAACCGGAGATCACACACAGGCCGAATTTTGGCAGCTCTTTTGTGGGCCTTGGCATTTTTTTTTTACCGAGCAAAACGAAAATCGAGTCTGAACTCAACTTAACTTTGTCACAAAGTCGCCGTAACACTTTTTTTGTCTCCAAATGTTGAACCCGCTAGATGTAAAGCATCTTTCGTAACTATTGTTTAACTCGTCCATGGGTAATGTACCTAATAAGCATGTTTTTCAATGAACGCGACCATTTATTCGTAACCGTGACGGCTGTGAGATAATTTTGACGGCTATGTTTAGTAACAACATTGTCATTAATCATTCTAACAATACTCATTGTTTTGTGTTTTTGTTTTTGTTTGTTTTGTTTTGTTTTTTGCAGAAACTGCATCGGAAAGATCTGCCTCTGATCCACCAGAAGTCATCATTAATCAGCTAAAGAATCGGGATCTTCCCGAAAGAGCGACACATCTTGATGTCGGTCGCCTACCAGTCGACATTTTGTTACTGACAGTCGAGGACCGTGAATTTCTAAGCTGTCTGTCCTATCTGAATGCTGGTTTTTGTAGAAATTTTCACAGAGATCTTGGTTACGTCTACCTCGGAGATATGGGAAAAGATGAAAGGAAGCTAAACGTGGCTGTAATGAATTGCTACAGGGGCTCTGCCTCTCCGGGAGGATCCATGATTGTTGTATTAAACGCTGTCAAAGTCTTGAGGCCCATAGCAGTGTTCTGTGTGGGTTGCTGTAGGAGCTTAGACTGTAATAAAGTTAAACTTGGAGACGTAGTAATCTTAGAGAAGTTAATAACATATGGCCCGTGCAAAATCACAGAGGATGGCATTGAAGAACGCGGAGTTAAAGTTCCATTGAAGTCCGGTCTTTTGAGGGTGATGTTAAGGGCTTGTGACGGCTGGCAGCCACCTTTGAAAGATTTAGACGCACGCGAAGTTGAAATACATCGTGGCGCGTTTCTGAGTGGACCTGAGGAAGTTATTGATAGAAAACGATGTGAAACACTCCTCGAAAGATTTTCAGAAGTGGTCGCTATAGAAAGAGAAGGTGAAGGTAAGCTGTCTTGGCCAGTTCATATTTTAACAGAGTGTTCATGAACTCGGTTAGTAAAATATAAACGGTTGTCCACGTCCCTGGAATTAATTCCTTGTTAGAGAACTTTGATTAAGGGGACCCCTTCACGAATCAGATCAAATCACAATCTTCAAGAATCCTAACTGTAAATTTTTCATTTTAGTCACCAATATTTTGTTGTCTGTGTTATTGCAATTTGCGTATTGATGCCTTCTAATCAAGTGAAGTTGTCTTAATTTTGAACCTAATAAACCTGACTTTTTCCGCGGCTATCTGCATACGTGAGTTCAAAACTTCACTTCTCTTCATTTACTACAATTCTTCGCTTTCAGGTGTGCATACAGCAGCGCATGACCTGGACATTGAGTGGACTGTTATTAAAGGAATTTTAGGCTACGCGGATGGCAGAAATGAGTCCAATTCCTGGAGACCGTTCGCAAGTTTAATGGCAGCTTCCCTTACGGCTCATATTCTCAGTGATGCAATTCCCTTTCAAGACATGCGACACTACAGAAATGAGAGTAAGTATTGGGCATACATACATATCTCCCATAACCTCTCTCATAGTCCCAGTAGTGCACCTGTTATTAAAAGCATTAGTTCCAAGCAGTCTGAATCTTGATTTTGCTGCCGGAGTTGGCGTGGCTAATCAAACTGTTTTGTTTTAATAATTCAAAATTGTAATGTATTCGATACATTAAATATACACAGTGTTAGAGTTATTAAAGGTAAAATCACTTCTCTTTATTCAAGTGTTGTTTGGATAGCTTTTCCAATTCATGCCATTTCATTTTTATTTCTAGCTGAAGCGAGAGGTAAAAAGCACACATCATGCAATGAGACGCGTAAGAAAGTGGGTAATTCAGGTAGGAAGAGAATGCTTTTTGCTGAGTATATTTTTTCGTTTATTTACAAACTTCACCAAAAGGCTTGGAATTCCTCTACGAGGTCCCAAAAAACAATAGACAACAACAAAATCAAAAAAAAAAAAAAGAAGATCGTCCCGGGGTTAATTGCAAAACAATTGTGTTTAAGTACGCATTTTTTATCGGAAAGTTAACTGAATCTAGTTCGTTTCTTGGAGGCAAAGTTTTGGATAGTTTTGCTTTATTTTCATCAAAAATGAGCCATAAAAAAGGAAAAGGCCCGAGTAGTTTAAAGCAGCAGTCTCTTAATAGGAACAATCAAATTAAAGAAGTTTTTTTAGGCAAGCTTCGGAGATGGCTATTTTGTTTAAATGTGGGTGAGACAAACTTATTGATTCTATAACAGTTCTGGGTGTTAAGGGCAAGGAAAATCCCCATGACATAAACTGCAAGTGAATCGACCTTTGTTAGGAAGATGCTGCAGTTGGGGAGAATAATATCCGATGTGCAGTTTCTATATTTTCACGAAAGTGTTTCTTTGTTTTCTGGTCAAAAGATGGGAGAAGGAAAAAGCAAAGGAAAGGAAAGTAAGCCGAAACCAGCAAGGCGGACAACAAATGTTCCCTGCTCTGTCAGTAGCTCAAGGTCAGAATCAGAACACGACGTTTTTTCATATATATACTCCTCTTATGCAACAGAAAGTGGGCGTGTTTGGTACTTGTTTGGTATCAGTTTATTGGAAGCACACTTGACAATTTTTCTATGAATTTATATCTGTCTGAAATTTTGAAAATGTTTCCTTATCGTTAACAAACACCCAGGAAAAGTAATGAGGTAGAAAGAGAAGAAAAAAAGTGATCTTCCTTTTAACAGCAGAACTTTTCCACTTTGCAGGTGTGTAGTTCTCCTTGGATGCCCACCGCACAACCATGATGGCCACGTTGCAGCAAAAAGACAATTGTCTGCCACGTCATCGTGATGGAGCTATTGACCCACAGCGAGATACTGTTGGTAGAGACCGCTTTGTAATGGGAAACGTGTATATATGAACTATCTTAGTTTGACTCTACGTTTTCATCTGATCTGTAAGGGTCTGGGAAACATTCGATGACCGGTCTGCGTCCTTTCGCAGACGTTTGAAAATATTTTGGCCCTGGCGTCAGCTGGGTAGTCAGCAGCATACGGTCTGTGTGATCGGAAGGGTTCTAGACCGTTGTCGGGTTCCTGGTCGTCCTGACCGCCATTCGGTCTGTGGAAAGGCCTAGGGTTACCGACCGTTGCCACCCCACTGACTGAAAAAATTTCTTATGGATACGTCTGTGCGGGATGATCTGCGGCGTATTGGCGATAGACAATTGTCCTGTTAAAACACGTGTCATTTATTGTCCAGTTGATCTTTTGATAAGTACTTGACGTCATTCTCGCACTAAAATCGAGTCAAACAAACATAGCATGGCTACGATCGCAATTTTATAAGGGAAACGGTTGTCTTTAGTATCTGGGAACGTCGTCTTGGATACGTCGGACGCAGACTGCCTCCGATCGTGTCCCAGACCGCCGCAGACCGTTACAGGCTATATAGAAACCAGGGTTTAACTTAGCTAACGGTAAGGGTTGATTTCCAGTCTCGTGTAATTTTTACGTGCGTAAAATTTACGTTCGCAAATATAATAGAGGCAATGGATGAAAGGTCGCTCGTAAGCGTAAAAGTTGAACGTCGCTCAACTTCTCGTTCAAGCTGAGCACTTTTTAACTTTCCTCTATTTTATTTACGTGATTAAAATTTACGTGCGTAAACGTCGACGTAGTCAAAAACGCGTCAGTGGAAATCAACCTTAACAGTAATGTGAGATTTTTAAATTTGTGTCAGCAAATACAAATTTCTTCGTGATTTGAGTGGCGCCATGTACAGGGAGTCGTCCGTGTAATTGCTTAAAAGTTTATAATCATTTGAACAGTGAGAATTATTTTTACAAAGCTTCAAGGATAGACAGTCAGCAAGCGGCTTTATTTTTGTTTGTTTTTTTTATGCTCAAAAGCATTTTCTAGGATAATTTTCTTTGTTATTTTTAGAGCTTCCAATCATCAACCTGTATACAAAAAGAATTAAAACTGAAATGCTTTTTAAGCTTTCAAATCTGAATTCAATTCTCCCACTAACCCTGGGTTATCTTAACCCAGCTTTGAACAACTCGGCTCTGTAGTTCACCTTCTGAAGAGGACTATTTTAAAAATTTTGTCCCAGTTGTGTAAGGACGCTTGAGGTGCGGTAAAACGGGTAACAAAAAAGGTGCAAACTCTTTTGCAACTTTGCTGCAAATCGAGTTGAATAGCGATGTTGCGCGTTTTACCATCCACGAAAGAGAGCCTTGCAACCTTTTTTTTTGCAAGACAGGTTCGAACGTGGGTGGTAAAATGCGCAACATCGCTATATACAACTCGTTTTGCAGCAATGTTGGAAAACAAGTTGCACGTTTTTTGTTGCCCGTTTTTACTGTAGCTTTAACCAGCCCATTCTATTATATTAAGCAAATTTAGTTACAGCTCGTCAAGTAACTGAGGGAATAAATAAATGAATAAATTATCGAGCTCAACATTTGGTACCTCACGAAACTACGACGACGGCAACAACGAGAACGTCAGAAAAGAAATAGGTTTAATGAGCAAAACAACAGCTCTTACTTGAATTCATAATTATTAGTAAAGGATCTGATTCTGTTTTAGCACTTATCATAGTATTTTTCTGTAAATAATCTCAATTATTTAGTTCATCATTAGCTAATTAGGAGGTTTCTTGAGAAACAGCGTTTGGCGTTAAGTAATTAGAACCCTTGCAACGTTTCTTTATTGGTACCAAAAAAATGTATGTGAACAAGGCGCTTTTCCACTTGAACTTCGACTGCTATCTGTATTTTTTTGCTTGTGCATTCAGAGGCAAAGGGGTGACGTTTAGTTCAATTAGACTTCTTACCACCTTCAACCGCTTGAAGGTTTAATAAAATTAAATAAGTTGTTTTAAAAAAATACGCAAGTTGTGATCCGATCCGATCAAGGTAATGAATGAATATATGGAACTGTAATAAAGTATGCACAGCGTTTCTTTTCATGGGCCACGCATTTTGGAAACAGAGCATTTGAAGACAGAGTTAAATAATTGGAATCAAACGTTTTACGTTTTTAAATCAGCTGATTTGCGTAAAATAGGTCTTCAAATGGCGGAATGACGTTTCAGAGAACTTAGCTCCTAAATTTCACAGCGAAGTCTAAGCCATGTCCCACGCTCCACTACCCCCTCCCCCCAGGAAAGTGCGCCTCTGGCACATATTTTTTTGCCTTCCCGGCGATGGATGGTCCCTCACCTGCTGAGCTAAAATTTGGGGAGGGGAATGCTGTCAACCGTCAAAGCCACCACGCCATTGAGACCGTCGTGAAAGGGAAGGGATTTCAGCAGTTGACGTATATGAAAGGGTATTTCAGTCTGTAAAAAGGGATAACAGACGGATTTAATGGTTGTGGAAAAAGTCGAGAAAACGTTCTGGTGTTGTGCTTCATATTTTAAGGACAGTGCATTTCCAGCAGTTAAAAGGGATGCAGTTTTCTAAAATGGGTATGTGAAAGGGGTACCATTTCTCACTAGAAGGTATACGAAAAGGGTGTCTTTTCTGTCAAAAATGGGGTATAAAAGTGTAAGGGGTTGAACCTCCAGGCGGAGCCTTCCCATATAAAACTTTGTTGAGTAACCTCCCCCCCTCCCCCAGCCCTTACTCCAAAAAAAAAGAAAAAACTTTTACAGTGCCCGTGCTCACGCTTTCGCTGGCCTCGTCAGTAATTTATCAATCTTAAAGATTGTGCATAAACGAATTTTGCCCTCAAGTTTGGCTTCCACATTTTAAGATACACGTAACGTACACATCAAGGATATTTACAGTACACGTACCAGTTGGAGGTATAATTGCTCTAAGTGAGACTTTGTTCAACTATTTTACTGACAAGTTTGGAACAACTATGGCAGACAAACAGTTTGCGCAGCACACATTTGTTATAGTAATCCTAGGTTTTACTGTACAAGCGCTGCAAAAGGACGTTATTCCAGCATAATATTCTTTTATTTCTCACGGCCGTACCAGACAAAGTAATTCTTTCAACCTTAAAACTCCTCTTTGCAGAACCAGTACTTTTAAGGCTTCATATTTTAATCGTATAACTAAGTTATGGAATTTTGGCTGTTCACTTAAGTCCTCCAGTAGTTTCTCTAGTCCGAAATCTTTTAAGCACTTTTCATAAACCTATTTAAGTTCACCCCTCTAGTTAATACCTGTGACGTGGAAAGATTTCGCACATGAACATTACTGATGATCTGGTCCTGTCACAGGTCAAAGTGACCGTGCCTACCGCATCCACTTTTTGGAATTTTCTTTTCTTTTCTTTTTTTTTTTTTTTTTTCACTTTTTTTTTTTTTTTCTTTTTTTTTTTTTTTTTTCACTTTTCTTGTTAACGTACACCTAGGGGTTTGAATTCGATTTTTTTCAAGGATGAAAAGTTACATCTAGCTTCAGGGCCGCATGGGTCTAGTGTCCCATTTGCACTTGCCCCTTTGGGAATCCGCAATAGTTCTTTTGTGAAGACGCCGTTTTTGTTTCGCTAGTATATTGTTTGTGGCACTTTTACATTCAATCAGGTATATCAGATATTTCGAAGGCCAGGTTCAAAATAAAAAAAAAACTTCCTTGCCTTTCTTTATCAGAGTTTCCCCTAAAGTTAAAAAGACCTACTGTTTAATTTAAAAATTCGTTTATTTAAGAAAAAATATAAATTTGCAAAATTTAAAGATACAAAGAAAATTATTTCATTCTAAACTGAGATGTAAGTTTAATCATATAACAATTATAAAAAGTATTCCTTGTCTACAAGTGTCAAAGGTATTCCTTCATCCACCTTCTAGCTGACTCGATGTCCTTGTCAACCTTTTCTTATCTTTGTCAAAGGATGGGAGAGAGCTGTAATAAAATGATTATAAAAGAGAAAATACGTGAATCATCTTGTGTCACTTCTCTGAAAGGCGAAAACATTATTATGAATTACACTACATGTTAGGAAAATAGCCTTAAATATAAAAACCACTTTGAACAGCAAACCAAAAGTAAAACAATGAGAAAAAACAATCATGGTTTCCTCATGTTTGCACACATAACACATGTTGTTAAAGAGGCTTTATAAAATTGATACAGACCCTGAGTTACTGGTAATCCATGATGATTATTATCACAATATACCGCTGTACCCACACCTTCTGACAGCTGTTTATTAAATAAGGGTCGTCAAACATTTCTAGCTACAGTAGAACCTCAATTTAATGAAGTGCCAAGGGACTGGGGAAATCTGTTCGTTAAATCGAGGGTTCATTACATCGAACACCCTCATTAAACGAATTTTCCAGAAAACTACCAAAATGTTCGTTAAAAGAGAGGCGGGGTTACTAACTTTCTTCCCCTAAAAAGGGGGGACTTATTACACAGGGGGGCTTGAAAGAGGATTTATGGTATGTTGCTGTTTCAAGGCCGTGTTGCCTGTCAGAATTGTACCCTGACTTCCAGGGCCTTACAGTGGAAACGTGTACTAGTTTAGACTGAGGTTAAAACAAGGGTGAAAGCCAGTAATTCTAACATCTGTGGATCTTGTAGAGCCTAAAGAATTTTAATCTTACTTAAATTCCTTTTTACTGCATCAGCGGACGTTGAGATCTTTTCTTAACTTGGTCGGTTTCAGAAAATAATTTTGCTCCTTCTCACTTTACACCTACACAACACTGATGTTGATCATAAACAAAGGCCACAGCTAGCCTATGATGACTTAGATTAGCAGTACTGTCTGTTTGCTGGGATAAAAAAGGTGTATGTAGTAGAATTAGGAGACCATTTTAGTGAGGGAACATTGGTGGGGGTTCAACTGTGATACAATAATGGGAAAAGCAGCCACATT